TCTCTCTCTCTCTCTCTCTCTCTCTCTCTCTCTCTCTCTCTCTCTCGCGCGCGCGCGCACACACACACACACACACACACACACACACACACACAACCACAGCGAACTCATTCGCCATCAGACAGGCTTCCCTCGAATTCAGATGACTGTTCACTGCAGTTATCTGAATCGGGGTCATCCTCCACAACCTCCGCGCGAGCCTTGCACTGCCGAATGTTTTTTTTTGTTTTTTGCACCAGGCTCAGCGGTCTTCAGCTTGCGGGGCCTGCCCTGAGCACGCTTAGGCTTCGCAGCAGCATCCTCCACCGGTTCTTTCCTCTTCCTCCCCAACCTGCTCACCCACCGGTTGTCATGTTGGACAGCCTCATTGCGTGGAGGGAAGTCGGGTGCGCTCTCGACAGATTGTGCGAACGCAACTGGTCGTTGCCTACGCGTGTACACAGCCTTCACAGCAGGCCGGTGCTCCTCTTCACCGTCCTCGTCATCCATGTTGTGCTGAGTGTCCTGTTCATCCGTGCCCTCCGCGTCTTCTTGCTGTTCCATGGCCTTCTCCACTCCTTCACTCTCCATCCCCTCCTCGTCCTCTTCATGCTCCATCTCCTCGTCCTCCTCTCCGTGCTCCTTCTCCGCCTCCTTCAAAACCGGTCCACTTTGTGGTTGCTCTTCCTCATCTCCCTCTTGCACAGCGTCCAATGCCCGACGTGTCTCCCGTTCCTTCTCCCCAACTTTCTTCTTGCGTCTCTCAATCTCCCTCCGGGTTGGGGTTGCTGCGCGTCGGGCGTCTTCTTCCATGATCCGTTTTTGGACGGCGTCTCTATCGCGATCTGCTAATGCCTTTGCGCGGTCAGCCTCCGACTCGTCTTCATCAACCGGGCCACTTTGCAGCAGCAACTCGATGTCCGTGTCCATGTGATGGAACTCGGCGTCAGACTGAGGATGGTATTGGGAGGAGCTTTCCCCCCCGGGCCTGTGTAGAGACCGCGGGCTGCCTCTCGCTCTGACGCTTTGCAGGTTCTCTCCTACCAACATAAGTAGTCCCCGGGACCGACGGCTGGGGTGCCAGCTCAAAATCGGAATCACTTTCATCCTCCTCCGCTCCGTTCGTCTCATCCAACAATCCGCACTTCCCCTTCCACAACTCATTATCCAAGTCACTGTCGTCGGTGCGCTCTTCCTCTTCGTCCTCGAGCTTCTTTGGAATCATCCCCTTCGGTGTCTTCACGAAGCTACTTTGCCGCACCAGCTCCTCATCCGTCTTCTCAGTTTTGTCCTCAGGGCCCCTCAAGACAGATCCATCGTTCTCATTTGGCTTTGGAATAGCCTCGAAGAACGAACTCCACAAATCAACGTAGCCCTTGCCGTTGACACCGCCGTTGTTGGCAGCACGCAGCAGTTGCATGTTCCAATGGATGTACACCAGCTTCTCCAATGTTTTGGCCTTCAAGCTGTTCCTCCTTATCGAATGCACGAAGTCCATGGACGACCAATTCCTCTCAGCCGGGGTTGCTGTACTCCACATGCCCATCACTTCGATGGCAATGGCCTACAAGTCGGGGACATCGCCACCATAAGCCGCCCACCACTCTGACGGTGTGAGTTTCTCACAATCAACCTTCGCATCGGGCTCCCACATCTTCTTGTCCTTTCTCTTGGGCCCGTTCGGCGTGGGCTCCTTGTGAAACTCGTGCAGGTCCCCCAAAACCTCAAGGTGGTCGTGCCCTTTCCAAGGACCTCCAACCTGTCTCTGCAGGTAACACATCACGTTCTGCACAATGGCACTGTTCCGATCATACAGCCACCGTGGATTTCTCCTGCGCGGGTCCAGAAAGAACGCCAGTGCATGTACTTGCCGCATCATCTTCATCCGATCTCTCACTTTCTCCATGACGGTTGCCCGCTGCTCCACAGTGAGAACAACGTGAGCCAGTTGCCTTTCAATCAGGTCGTCGCATTCGACAAGGTTGGTCGGCGATGTTCCATCTCGATCCATCCTCCTGAGAAGGCTGTACAACGGTTACATGACATCAACCACCTTCTTCAACTCCGTCCACCAGCCGTCTCTCCTTATGGTGAAGTAAATCAGGTCCGCTTTCGCCTTCAACTTCGCAGTGGACCAACGGATCCCCATCCACCGTGCTGCATTTTTTCGATCCACCATATCCGACAACACTGCCTTCCTGTTCAGAAGCCTTTCCAACATCATGTACACGGACCCGAACCGGACTTCCGTAGGACGAAGCAAGGTCAG